TAATAAGGCTTCAATCTTTACAATCACCAGACATCAGTGGAACATGTTGCAGCAGGTTTAATGTTTCTGGTAAAGTCTTATACAGAACAGAGAAAACATATTATGGAGCCAAGGAGAAAACTCTACAGAGTATAAGATGAAGTAGGATGGTGTTGATAATATTCTTGACTTACACTACAGTGTTATCGTACACAGCCGAGTCTTAAGCTTAATATGGACTCACATAAGACAGATTTTTGTCCACTCATAATATTTCTCCTTCTCTCTTTGTCTTGGCTTGCCCTCGTAATTTACTTTCCTTTCTTTATGCATATTCTATTTAGGCAACCTTCACTCCTAACACATTCATGTATTATAAAGTAAGCAGCTGAGGACTGTTGTAAGTGTGTGTTATGAGTTGTGATGTTGACTCCTCACAACAGACGCTGGAAGGGGACGATGTTCTTGGTTATTATTTCCTTGCAGTTAAGAGTGTCACATTCTTCAGCGTCCAGGCAGGGTTGTGGCTACTAGGGTGAGTGTAGCCGATACCAGATGATAAATATTGTATTCAAGCTTCATTGTTTACAAGATTTTACAATAGTTGATAATTTGATTTTCGAGAAATTACAATAATATTAAATTGAATATTCACAAAAATATAATACGTGTTAATTGAGGTTTGAAGACTGTCCAATAGCCATTAATTGGACCATATTTCCAGGGTACAATTTCATCATTTCCAATTTTCTTAAAAAAAAAAAAATTATCCACCTTTTTCCAAACATGTCTGGTGTTATAAACATAAATCGTACTTCATTTAAAAGATCAATTCCATGTTTAAATTTTCTACACACAATCTGAGAAACCTTTTATTACCGTGACCAGAATTCTCATCAAACTTTTCCTCCTTTTAATGATCGATCGCTTTTTATGTGGCATCTGAACTGTCACTGTCACGGCAAACTCAAAGTTAAGAGAAAACCTTGAACTAAGTTTCCAAGCTGAGAATGAATGGTGATTGTTTTTTTTTCCATTCTCAGTACTCTAATTCGTAATTTTTTTAAAGTTTTATTTATTCAGCTATAAACGGGAGGGGGTGAGAGGGACAGGTAAACACCTCAGTAAGGGTGAAGGAGGCTCATGACAGTCGTAGGTGGTGGAGACAGACCTGAGAAACTAGCTATCATTTGCAACTGTCTAAAGGAAGAAGACAAAGACAAATATAAAGACGAAGAAGAAATACCTGGACATGTAGTGTAGTTCTTGACGGTAGTGTTATCTGTAGGGGCAGTGAGCATTACTGACCTTTGGGGAATAAAGAGCTAACAAGTGTTTATAGAAAGTAAGAGATTCTCTTTGTGTTCACGGTCATGATAATGTAATTTACCTGACATTTTTACGGTTCAGAATATTGAGGTTATTTGATAAGTACCAGTTATATATATCATTGTAAGTGGATCCCATTAAGCTGCCGGGACTCAAAGAACAGTGTATATACAACACCCTGTAGCTGAGTCTTAATATACAAGGATATAATGTGGCTGGTGCTGCACTTGACCACATGCACTTCCCCAACTGTACATTTAGGTACCCTTTCAAATCTCTAGTTGCCCTGGAATCGAACCAGCGATTCTTAGCCTTAGGACAGGAAGCCATTACGTTATAAAGAAATATAAACAGACTTAATTGGGCAGAATAAAATATAACAATTCAGGCAAGTTATGCAGATGTTAACAATGTGTTTATGGTGCAAAAATCACCCTTATCATGACAACTGGGAGCCTTTAACCTGTCCCTTAGATATTATATAAAAATACACATATGTTGGGGGGATATATTACGACCTTGTGATAATGTTCCAGGGGCTACCATAGAGGTTAGCAGTTAACATGACACTACGGATTTTGGATTCCATGCTCCGTAACACCTCCTGCTCACACACACACACACAAAAGCGACGCATCAGTATTCACACAAGCGAGTACAGTGAAAAACACCATCATGCCAGAGGATAATAACATAACACTACGCTGTATTTTTTAAATCTACTTTACGCAATTTCACTATGACGATGTATTTGTATATAATCAGAACGTATATGTGGAAATAACCTGGCAAGTTAATGCTTTATATTCTAGCCATTTTATCACATTATACATTGAAAGAAGATCATTATACTGTACATGGCAGCAGTAAGTCGAGTAAATCTGTTTATTACTTGTCCTGTCTTGTGGGTATCGGATGTACGACATTTTTTTAGGTATCGTGCATCAGTTCAGCTCCACATCGTCTCAAAAATTAATTGATTGATTGATTGAATGATTGATTGTGACAATAACATCCTCGGCGGCGCAACAGTTTAGGTCAAACACCGCCTGGGCACAAGAACATTTACCATGGATGCATATTTAAAGGCTGACCACTTAAGTATTTCCGAAAGGTTTCAACAAAATTGCCTCAGTAGTTTGAAGAAGTAGAAGAAAGTGAGGAAAGTTTACAGACTGACGGACGATAATCGAATGAAGACGAATGACTTCCTCAAGGGAGATGGTAATGGCTGAGGGTGGAGAAGTAAGAGCCTCGGTTAAAAAATAAATGATACCGTTGATAGTTCAGATAATGAGCCATAATGTGTGTGTGTGTGGAGGGGGTGGGGTAGGGGGGGCTATTATATATTAATTATCATATACAACAATTTTTAGTCCAACTTATTAATATAAAGTTTTAAGTTTGATAAAGTATGACAGGTGATACAAGTACTACGGTATTACATTATTACTTAGAAACTAAAAAAAAAAATAAGTAATCTCTTGTACGGGTCAGCTCAGGCAGTATGACCACTTACCATTCAGGACTGGAAAGAATGTGTTTGTCGAATGAGTAAAATTTACATAATGAAAGTCAACTAATTGGGATAAAACAGATTTAATCCTTTTGATTTAGGCTCAAACTTAACACTATTGCCTCACCTGATGTTACGAGACACCTGGGTATTATTAGACGTCTGTTATGGAGTTATACAGTACTTTATCAATTAATATGACTTACATGGACAGATGGGAGTTAGTGGTTGCAACTTTAATACAAAAGGTGTGATAAATATTTGACTCCTGGCAGGTGTTTCGACCAGTCAATCTTCCTCATCTGTGACGGTAAGATCGAGACATATCAGACTAAAATTCCTTACGTTAATTTGTGCTTCATTTGCTACCACACTCCATTATGCTTTATAATCAAAACTTCCCCAAAAAGCTGATGTTTTGTGATTTTGGGGACTAGAAATAAATCACTAACATTACACCTGTAGCCTGTGGATGGTAAAGGTATTGGTCCGTTGTGAACGTTCTTTAAAATAGAAATGAAGTTCAGTTTCGGTACAACACGATGAAACCAAGTTCTGTGTTCTCTTATCCAGATGAATGTCTTCTATTTATTCATATCTTTTCATTTTGTTGTTGGTAGAACTATTTAGAAATTTCCTCAAGGCTGTCAGGAAGGTTTTGTGTTACGACGGGAAAAGAGAAGCACAGGGAGTATATTAGTATTATTAACCAAATGTGGGAACAAAATATCTGTATTTTCCCATTTAGTTTTAGGTAATCATTAACGAGTAACGAATAACACTCGTACAACCAAAGCAATAAGGAGACAGGTGGGAGGTGCTACGCGTTAGTGATGGGCGTTCACACGTCCAGCTGCCAGACCATAAAAACACATAACTAACCTAACCTAACCGAGGAGGGTGGCTCCAGTTTGTGCTCAAATTAACAGTGTAAGGAGATGTTTTCAATGACGGGTATCAACAAAACAAGCTTCAATATACATAGAACTATTTATTATAATACATAGACAGACGCGGACCTCTTGTGAAGGATTATCAAATGGTATAAATTGTCAATTATGGAATTGTTGACCTGCGTTTTCGGAACTGTAGTTGAGGAAACATTTGTCTGAGGTGTCCGCTGGCAACACTGTCTCTTCACTACTTTCTTCTGATGATGGATGTGCGTGAAGTCCCAAAGCTTTGGAAATTCCCTCGCTTTTTCAGTGAGGGCAAGTTGAGACTTACCCGATGGTATGTTGGCAGATTTGGAGAATGTACAGTTGAAGATCAGACTCCCATATCGCCGTCTCGTTGTGTCAAATGAGGTCTCGTCATCATTTCTATTTTAGCAATACTTTCATAATTTTCGTTTGTATTTCAGGCATAAATGAGGATACTTTATAAAGGATATATTCTAAAATAATATGTTAGAATTTCAAATATCAATACGGATGACGGAGAATCGACAACATTCGGGTGGTAAGAACAGTTGGCAAGTCGACTGTCGCCGCGGCGACTGGGTGTTGTCTGTTCTTATACACAAAGTTGCTGGAATCGTTGGTTTCCCGTCGATATTTGGCATGTGTGACCGAGCATTAAGTTGTCCAATGGTGAAAAAAAAACTCTACTCTTGCCTCTTATGTTTTTTGTCTGTTGTATAAGTTTGTATAATAAATTTCATAGACGAAGTAATTAGGAAGAGGAATCCAAAAACTGAAAATTTTCGAGAATTATGATTGTTAATTAGTACTAATTATATTTTTATTTAACATTTTACGAACACTTAGTGTTGTTTAAACTCTGACCACAAAACTGTTATCAAAATGGAGAAACTTGAAGAAGAAAATTGTGATGGATTAGATAAGAGTTGGGGAAAAATTTTTAATAAAAAGATCAAAATATGAATATAAATATGTGGGAGGAGACCAATGCCCCAAATAAACTTACAACCTTCAGCTTTTGAGAATATCACATCAGTACCGAGGAGCGATGGTAGGCAGTAATACCCGTCCCTGACCCGAGTGCTGAGAGACGCCGCCTTCTCAGGGCCCCCTCACTGGGATACTCCACCAGCAAATGTTTTATAGCCCAGAGGACCAGACAGTCATTGCACCAAGGAGCCGTGGGTCAGCCTAGAGTGGCCAATGTGGATCTTGGTCAGAGCAGTCGTCTCCCATCTCCGTAGCATTAGGGGATGGGTCTAAGAGCGTACCACCGTCGCAATCTCCCTGAGTCTGTTGAGGCCAGTAATGGCTTCACAAATAGCATTCCTAATCCTAGGACGTACAGTATAACCCAATAAGGAAGTGGGTGAGGCAGAGGTAGGACAGCATGCAGCGGTCCTCCCTTAACAGTACCTCTTGAAAGAGCGGCCACATACTGTAGCTGGGGCTAGGCTCGTAGGCCTCCACGAGTCAGCGTGGCCAGGAGAGAAAGACTTGGAGGCCTTGTCTTCTCTCTCGAATATTCTTAACAAAAGAACCATCACTTTTCTGTTCATTAACAAACTTTCTGGTTAAGTCTTTATTCTTGATGATGTCATAGTATGTACACTAAACCCAGGCACCGCGGCCCTCGGCTCCGATGGAAATAAGTAGACACAAATGTATCTGTTGGGTTGATATCTCTGATTATACTATACAGGCGTAATATCCTTTACTGTGCAATGGTCTGTGATTTAGACTACTGAAATACTACTAAGCCTACAATTTGGGTTGAAATAAACGGTTAAGTACTGTGTAGTGCTTTAATGATGACTGGTTAGGGATATATTTGTGACATACAGTAGGAGATGATTGTTTGAGACCTGAACACAACAGTTTTCATCTTCCAAATAATATTTATTTACAGGAGAAAACCAACATGTAACAAAAGGTTGGCTGAAATAATCAGAGATTATGTGGTATTTCTTCTCTACTCTTTGGTTGCGTCAATATAATTCAAAGTCTTATTCTTCCAGATAACTATGTGTATTCTCCTTTACTTAGAGGATCTCGAAACATGATGGATGATCTGTTCATGGGTTTCAATATTGATTTTATTATATTTATTATCACGTAATCGAAATCGAATTGGTATATAAATGTCCAAGCTAAATAATGTGCAAAAAAAAACATCCAAACGAAGTGGAAAACAGACGGAGAAACGAAATATTCAAAGAAACTCACTAAATGACTCGCATTTCTGACATAAAGAGATATCTGTTGATGAAGCAAACATACTAACACATCATCATAACCTGAGTATATATCAAAACCTTTCATCCTGTGATCCAGAATGTAAATTACGACAAGGGTCGCGATACTTTTTTTGCTGGGTCGACTGTACTTTTCTTCACACCTAATTATTCAACAATAACTTTTATGATTAACACCTCTACGAGATAACGAGACTGTGGGAGAATATATCGGAAAACTAAGAATGTATTCATGAGTTCGATTATATAGGACAGGGTGAGATTTTCTGGAATTCCGAGGCATTGAAGTCCAAACTACGAGGTCTTGCTAATCGCATATGATGTGTGGATACTGTATCTGCCAGTGATGATGATGATGGTGGTAATGATGATGATAGTGGGGATGATGATGATGGTTGTGGTAATGGAGGTGATGATGGTGATAGTAGTGGTAATGAGGAATGGTCTGGTCACCCACGTTGTACCTCACTTGGCCTTAGTTACACGGGGACCATAAGTTTAGTCTCGCTGCTCATGACCCAAACCATCCCAACACACATAGCCACACAGTCCGTACGTAATACATTAACATTACCTAATTCAGCTTTCGACGTGAATAATGAAATTAACTGGTTGAATACTATACTTGTGTTGGACGAATCATCTCGTTGAAAAAGTTATTTATTTTTCAGGTTGGCTGCGTTTGATCAGCTGTGTACAAATCTCATTGTCGTAGAACTGCGCGTATAAAAGTGGAAATTTTGTATAGAAATATTTATGTGAATTTTCCACAAATTCAAAGAAAAGCAATGCAGTTTAACTACAGTTTATTGCAGTATTTCAGTAATACATTTTCAGAAACGAAAAATACAAATACGTTTTAATGTTTTAATGCATGTAATTCTATGCGTATATATTAATGTACAACTTTTGTATTTACCATAAAAACAGTGACTACCTTTTGTGGCATAAAATAATAGTGTTTCGGGTTATCATCATCAAGGCACAGCGGTCACAGGGTGCTGGCGGTCATATCCTCCCTCTCACCTTCACCTTGCTGCCTCTTTAAAAACTAAAATTTAATGTTTTAACAAGTCGTTGGCTCGTGAGGGATAAACCTCATGTTGTGGTGCGGTTATAAAAGAAAGTACTGTATCTCCCTATTAAGTGTTCATTATTGACAGAGAGGAACGGATCTTCTGATAAAAAAAAATCCTTCTAATCATGAGAGAGCTGAACTACTTATCGGTCCAAGGCCGTGCTCGGGGAGCCTGAGGACGTGGTGATCACGCGTTTAATTTTGAAGCGAGGGAGGGTAGGTGGTTGTCGGAGGTGGGGGGGGGGGGCGCGGTTGGCGGAGTGCTGGCTATACCACCAAATGAAGCTGTCTGATGATCCGATCCCACCGTTTACTGCAACACTGGACTCCTCCATTGAACTGTAATGGGAGCACCAGGCCGACTCAAGTGTTGCTAACCTCCTTAGGATCGGTGTGAGTCCCCTCCTCTTTGATGACAAAATTTTGCTGCTAGAACCTGATCAAGATATGAGCCAGACAGATAGGTTGGTAATATACTACTAATTGAACGCTCCTGCCCAAACACTTGTTTCCATACACACATAACATACAATTATTTTAATACAGGCTATACACCTCACCATTGACTTTACACATCACCCTTAACCTCCCACCTCACCCTTAATCTCCCACAACACCCTTAACCTCCCACCTCGCCCTTGATCTCCCACCTCACCTTATCCTCCCACATCACCCTTAACCTCTCACCTTACCCTTATCCTCCCACTCCTCACCTTATCCTCCCACATCCCCTTAACCTCACACCTCACCCTTATCCTCCCACCTCACCCTTATCCTCCCATCACCCCTAACCTCCTACTCCACCCTTATCCTCCCACATCACCCTAACCTCCCACCTCACCCTTATCCTCCCACATCACCCTTAACTCCCACCTCGCCCTTGATCTCCATTCACCCATGACCCCCCCACCCTTAACCCCTTTGGTTCACCCCTTGACCTGTGGTTCACCCTTGACTTCGGCTGACACTTGACCCCGTGGTTCACCTTGAACTCGTGGCTCACCCTTAACCCTCGAGGCACCCTTGACCCCGTGGCTCACACTCTGACTTCGTGGTTTACCCTTGACCTCGTGGTTCACACTCGACCCCGTGGCTCACCCCTAACCCCGTGGTTCACCCTTAACCCTTGGTCACCCTTAACCCAATGGCTCACCTTTAACCCTGTGGCTAACCCTTGACCCTGTGGCTCACCTTGACCTCTTGGCTCACCACCACTTTACCCCCGTGGCTCACCCTTGACCTCGTGGCTCACCCTGATCTCGTGGCTCAACCTTAACCCAATGGCTCACCTTAACCCCGTGGCTAACCCTTGACCCCGTGGCTCACCTTGACCTCTTGGCTCAGCTGACCCCGTGGCTGTCCCGCCTTGATTCCGTGGCTCCCCTTGACCCCGTGGCTCCTGCCACCCCGTGGCTCCCCTCGACCCCGTGGCTCACCCTCGACCCCGTGGCTCGCCCTGCCCCTGTGGCTCACCCTCGACCCCGTGGCTCACCCTCGACCCCGTGGCTCACCCCTCCGACCGTGGCTCACCCTCTGACCGTGGCTCACCCTTACCCCGTGGCTCACCCCCCGGCCCCCGTGGCTCACCCCTTAACCTCGTGGCCCACCTTTGACCCGTGGCCCACCTTTGACCCCGTGTCACCCCGCCTGGCCCCGTGGATCACCGCCGACCCGTGGCTCAACCCTTACCCCGTGGCGCTCAACCCCTTGACCCCGCAGCTCTGACCTTGACGTCAACCCTTGACCCGTGGCTCAACCCCTGACCCCGTGGCTCACCCTTGACCCGTAGCTCAACCCTTGACCCCGTGGCTCAACCCCGACCCCGTGGCTCAACCCCTTGACCCCGTGGCTCAACCCCCCGGCCCCGTGGCTCAACCCCTGACCCCGTGGCTCAACCCTAGACCCGTGGCTCAACCCTTGACCTACCAGTACCCGGGCCTTCATTCAGCTGCACTCCTCTACCGTACATTATCATCGCAATGGTCTGGAATTCCTCAGTCTTCCTATTGTTTTCTGAGTCTTTACCCAAAGTCATTACCGTCCCTCCGCCGCCAGCTGCCTTGGAGTGAGGGTAGTAGTGGTGCAGTGCTCACCCCAGCCGTCTGGGCAGAGTTTGTGGTAATAGAATATGGATAAAGCACGAAGCTAAAGTTTGTTATCTGATTTACGAAAAGGTGAAGTTTGTTTATACCTGAATAACGAAAAGTTGAAGTTTGTGTATCTGATTTACGATAACTGATACGAGAGAGAGAGAGAGTATTTCAAAAGCTAGATCTTAAAGTGCCATGTATGAAGTTGACGAGATGAAGTGAAGAGATGACTGAAAAATAGGTAACCTCTTACCAAATGGAGAATCGGATCAGAGAAGTGGCAGGATTTAGGACAGTACACAGACGCATGGATGATATTCGTTTGGTAATGTTCAACGGAGGAAGTGACGCATTGTATTAATTAATATCTGGGTTTAAACTCAGACAAACTTAAATGAGAGAAGGCAATAATTTTCATTATATAAATCTAAAGAAAATCTTACACAAGTATTGTTCCACGAGAATTTTCCAGATATTCAACAAAATCTCTCGAGAATGCAGATTATTCCGGCTGACTGCTGGGTTTGGGTCGCTCCTGCCATTATTGCTTGACGTCATGGCAGTAAGCCACCTCAATAATTCATTCACATACATAAGCGCTTATAGCAAGGTCACTCTTTTTAACTGGTATTACCTTTTGTAAGTATTATTCTTTTCTTTGTAATCCATTTTCGTCATCGGATGCCAGCGATAGAAATTTGGCAGTAATAGATAGTCAGGTGACATAACGTCCTGTCGTGACCTCCACCTACAGCAGTAACAGAGGACTCAGCCTGTTCATCCCACATCGTCAACACTATTGAATCCTAATATAAGGTATAAATAAAGTCCGCCTCTTCACATGTATCCTGACACCGTCCTGTCGCTCCCCTAATTGACGATTGACGGCAAATGGATTCGAAATTATGACATCTATGAGCAGCTCATCCAGCCAATACATTTTCGAGTTACTGACGCGTCGTCCCCAAGAGTAGTAAATTCACCATCATTTTGTTTTACTCCTATAAATAATTGTTTTTATATATCACTTTAGATTGATACATAATACTACACCAATAATTAACCTTGGTTTAATCCACTTTTAGGCAACCAAAAGTATTTTATAAAGTCAATGTAACTCTTCTTAAAAATTGGTAAGAAAGAATAATGCAGGAATAGGAATGACATTTAAATTAACAGAACTGAGCTCAACAGAAGATTGGATATTTCCTGAAGTCTTTCGTGGAGATGGGTCTGAGGGAACAAGATATCATCAATAAAGAAAACATTAATTAGACAAAAAAAGACGAGAAAATAAATTGAAACAAACTACTAATATAAAAGTTAAGATAGGAGCAATGATGAGTTACCTTAGATCATTAGTTAATTATATGTTAATGATAAACAAACTCAATATATTATAAAGGAGATCAATAAGACTTGGTGTGTTCAATGTATTCCAAAGCTATTATATGAACAAAATAACAGTAACACACACACACACACACACACACACACACACACACACACACACACACACACACACACACACACACACACACACACACACACACACACACACACATCAATAACTAATTACTTGATCACTAGTGGGTCCAGCTCTCACTCATCAACCCATCACCTTACCTATCCCATTTACTCATCACCTCATCTCCCCATTCCACGGCTGCCTCCATCAACCCACCACAACCACCACCTCCACTACCATCAACACTACCACAACCACCACCTCCACTACCACTATTTACGATCCTCGGGTGTAGCCATAACTAGTAATTATTCTCAGATCCTTTCATTATCCTTTCACAGTTCACTAGGTCGAGTTTATTTCCAGGATATTTTAAAACACCTGTAAAATAAATTAGACATAATCGAAAGTAATAATAATCTAAATTAATAAGCACAAAACAACCTCAAACCTACAAATTAAATACAGAAAACAACACACACACACACACACGCACACACACACACACACACACACACACACACACACACGAATGTTGGAAGCAATAAATTAAGTTAAGTCTAGTAAAGTTCTTAAACAAAGTAACAAAAATACTCCCCAGGTGACATTAGACAAAACCAGAGAGTGAGTACTTTCCTTGGGAGTCATACAGAACTGTCGTCTTTGCTGCTCACACAAAAAAAACACCATCAGGTCAGCTAACAGTACGTGACATTGGACTAAAAGGGCGTGGCAGCGCACACAGTTATCGACAAACAGTATTACTAATAGTCTCTAGATTACAGGTAATTCATCTTTTACATTAAATAATCTAATATTTGTGATAAATCTGTAAAAAAAAGTATTCAGGGATATTAAAGGAGATATTATACACATTATCCTTCAACAACCGAGCGCTCCAGACCCGCCTCACCCCTCCCAACACACACCTCACCCACTAACTTGACGCTTAACACACACAGTAATATATTAAGAGAATAGCGATACTCATACCACCACCATTACCGCCACCGCAGCCGCCACCATTTCACCTTCGCTGGTACACTGGTTTCTCTCCCCAAATCTTCGGGGCAAAACAATTCTGCCTGTCTCTGTCTTTCTCTTGTGGTTCTTCTCTGCTCTGTTATTCTTCCATGTCTCTCTCTCTGTCTTTCTTTCATTGTTATTCCTGCATCTCTTTATTATTCTTGTATTCCCTTCTTTCTTTCTTTCTCTGTTATTCTTGCATCTGTCTCTCCTCGCCTATAATTTTCATGTCCTTCCAATATTTTCACTGTATACAATATTTTCCACCACTTGCATTTGTCTCCCTGAGAATTATTTATACATTATTTCTCCCTGTCTAGTTCCTCCTCTCCTGCCATCTCTACCCCATCATTCTCTCGTTATTCTCGTACAATCTTCAGTCTGGTGTTATTGAGACGTTTTTAATGATAATGGTGATAATAACAATAATTTGAGTGATATTAGTTGAGCTTTGTTTGTGATGTAATTATTGTCTTGATTCCTTTTCATTCTCTTTATGATCTGGGTGTCTGTTAGTTAAATCAGCTGCCGCCATTTGCGTTATATTCGTGATTTTTTCCGTTATATAATTTTTTATTGAGAGTTTAGTGTTTTCTTATATTTGTGTGTGTGAAAAGTGAAAGTGTGTGTGTGTTTGTGTGTTTGCGTGTGCCCGTGTGCGTGTGTGCCTGTCATTAAGTAAGATGAAACAGGTGGTCCATCATCCTGTAAAACACTAAGATTCTTGTTTGTGTTTGTCACTGGCTGAGGTTCTTGAAATTTTATGCTCACTCATCGATACTCACGGAGGCCTGCATTTGTAACATGTGTTGCAAAGTTAGTGTTTTACGACAATATGAATTAAGGAGCCAACCTGTGTGACTGCTATCCTCTATAACCCAGCACCTGTTATAGATTATATTATCATCAGGTTAACGTAAAAATCCAGACCATAGTAGATACTGTTAACTCCACCCCAACCTGACTGTGATTTCTGACGCCAGGCTCACATAACAGACGCTGCCTGGGTCGGGTCAGGTCAGGTCAGGTCGGGTCGAGTCGGGTCGGGTCGGGTCGGGTCATACTTGTTGCATGGTGTGAAGAACCAAATCAAATCTGATGCGTATCTCTCTTACTTCCTGACAATGTAAACACAAAATCTAGCTGTCAAGGTAATATACTTCATATACTGTACTCTAGGATCTTACTTAAACCATGAACCAGTATTATCAGTAATAATCACACACACACACACACACACACACACACACACACACACACACACACACACATACACTTACACTTTTGGTGCGTGATCTTACCTAGTATAACACCCATCATCATTGCTTTACCGTGGCTAAGAGTCCATAACTCAGCCCACAAAGATATTTCTTCTCAATACATATATTCTGCTCAGTCTGGGGATCGACCCTCCTCTTGGTCCGTGAAGTGGGATAACCGTACTGCAAGTTTGTAAACATAATAGAACACTCATTGTGCCTCAAAGTAAAAACTGAAAATATTTAAAAAATAGTAAAACTTTGATTGATGAAATAGATAAATACTTTGGCGCATAAAATAGAAAACTGGAAATGTTAAACTTGTGATACATTTTCCAGGGATATATTTTTTGGAACCCTGAAGGATGATACATGAAACACAACGTGACGCGTCTGTGAAATTTGTGTTAGAATTTCAGTTTTGAGATTGCCGAGGGGCAGGGTCTGACAGCTCAGACCCGGCTTTACCTACGCTGCACACCTCCCGAATTTAATTCTTTTTCTTGAGGCTGTAAGATGGTTGAAGCAGCGGGGCCAGAGACTCCATTAGTTGTCGAAATTTTGGAAGTTCCTCCACGTCCATCCTGTGAATAATATTCTCTTAGCTGTTCACTTTATTGGCTTATCTAAATTCTCAGTGACCCTCAACAACTCTTTATATATATATATATATATATATATATATATATATATATATATATATATATATATCTCTTGTATGTGTCTATACATTGTGTAACTCTGAGTGTACAGGCTTACTGTGTGTGTGTGTGTGTGTGTGTGTGTGTGTGTGACGAAAGAGGCCGATACGGGATCGACCCTGCCTGTCCGTATCGGCCCTCTTTAGTCACCTCAGAACTCACCAACCTAGGTGACATCCTT